AGAACCAAGAATGCACAATGTTTGAGGGATAAGTTCAAAACAGCCATGTTCTGCCTGACAAATCCACACAGGCTCATCCTGGAAACACAACACCAGGAAGCTGAGCGTGGAATTCCGAGCCTATTATCCCAGCCTTCAGGGGGCACAGGCAAGAGGGTTAGGAGTTCAATGGCAGCCTCAGCTAAGTATGGGATTCAAGGCCAGCCTGAGCTTCACAAAATCCTCTTAAAATCAAAGAAGAGACAAACAAACAAAAACCAAGCAAACAAAACCACGTGCCAAACAACCCACTGAACCCAGAATGACTCTGGGATTCTACTCTTAGGTTTTGGAACTTTTTTGACATGCTAACCATTTTCTTTGCATGCCACCCCATTCCCAAGAGCCTCTAAAGGCACAACAGAAGCAGCCCCTCACTACTTAAAGTGTGGAAACTGAGGCCCCAATACCAGAGACAGGGTGGCTTCAGGGAGTCTGATACTCAGGGCTGGTTTACCCACATGCCAAAGAATTTTCTGGTTTATTGCTTTGTTCTTTTGAGGCTTTGTTTGCCTGAGACAGAGTCTCATGTAGCCCAGACTGGCTCAAACTGGCATTGTAGCTGAGGACGACTTTGAACTACTGATCCTCCTGCCTCCACCTCCTGAGTGCTGGATCACAGGTATGCACCACCCATGCTGGACTAGAACCCAGGGCCTTGTGCATGCTGGACAGGCACTCTACCCACTGAGCCACATCACCACTCCCTGAAGGGTTTTCTTCTCCCCTCTGTCCTCATCAGGATACATGGCCCCTTGATTCTTGGAAAAACATTAGCTGCAGAGAGTGGGCCAAGCAAACCCTCCTGGTGGTGCCTCATCACAGAGGAAGTGCACGCACGGCCAACTCTACGGGGAAGCAGGGATCAAGGGTGCACACCCCAAGCGCCTGGCAATTAGCCTCCAAGTCACAGAAGTTGCTTTCCATCTCCAAAGGCCCTGTTTTCAACTGCCAAGCACCGCTTAGGAGACCTTCCCTGGCTTAACAGCCTCATTCACAGCCCCCAGACCCTCTGTCCTGAAAAACCCAACATGGAAATGTCAGCATAAGACAATCCTATGTGGCAGCAAGTAGCTTGTGAGTAAAGACTGACTCTTCTTGCAGTCACTCAACAATTAGTTAAGGTGACCCTCAGCACAGCACCACTGTAACAAAGAAAACAGAAGCCACACAGCTTGAATTTGACCCCTTCTAGCACAGAGCACCCTCAATCACATCCCTGTACGGCGGCGTTTTACACGACCACTTTCACAACTTCCTACGAAGCTCAGTGTGCGTTCTTTCACCCTGAGACCTCCCATGATTTTGAGCTCAGGACCTGAGGTCCAAGGGATAAGAGTGAATGGTCTCCTGGGGCCACTGTGGAGGACAGTTTGGCCACCTCAGCTCTTGCAATGTTAACCCTGCTCCTACCAAGAAATCCATCCATCCCACCTCTGGGCATTTACCAAAGAGAAATGAAATACATCTGCCCAGTGTTCCCAATAAAACCTGGACACCAGGACACCAGCACTCTATTCATAATCACCCACACTGGGGACATCCAAATGTCCTTCAGCTGGAACACAGGGAACAAACTGTAGCCCATCCACTGAGTACTACTTAGCAATTAAAAGGGACAATATTGAAGGGTGGGGTGGTGCATGTCTTCAATCTCAACACTCAGGATACTGAGGCAGGCAGATCTCCGTGAGTCTGAGGCCAGCCTGGTCTACAGAGTGAGTTCCAGGACAGCCAGGGCTAACGAATGAGACAGAGATCCAGTGGGTGGGGGTAGGGACAGGCTAATGATACTCAGGCGACTATAGACCTGAGTGGAGCCTGCCTCTAAAGGCTCAGTGCTGCTGCCTGCCTCCCAACCTGGGATGCAGTAGACAAGGAAAGCAGGAAGATCAAGAGACTTGGCCCAAAAATCAAGAACTAGGGCTGGAGCTCAATGCTGGAACTCTTGCCTTCCATGCAGGAGGCCCTGTGTCCCATCCATAGCACTGAAGAAAAACAATAGCGAGTGCATGATTCTATTTCTAGAACCTTCTAGAAAAGGAAAAAAACTACAGAAGGGAGATGAGGTCACAGGTCACTGGAGATTGGAGATGTGAGGTGCTGACTCAGAAGAGGAACGGGAATACTCTGGGGAGATGGAGCTGTTCTACGTCAAGTGTGGCGCTGGCTCCACAGCCCCGAGTAGCTGTCAACAGTGCACAGAAGACAAAGCCTGCCATAAAGAGGCCACGCCTCTTCAGATTTGCTTTCTAAATGGAAGGCAAAGGACAACAGGGTGTGTCAAGACGACCTGGAGACCTCAAGTCCTGAGCTGGCAGCTAGGGGGTGCCCCAGAAGCACACTGGAAAAAATACCAGTTTTCTGGAGACTAAGATGTCAGGGCCATGAGTTCCAGATCAACATGGGCTATATAGTTGAGACTTGACTGGGGCAGGGGGAGGGGAGTGCTCCAGGATGGAAAGGCAGAGAGTCCTGAACCACATCCCAAGGCCAATGACAGACAAGAACTATCATTTTAATGCAATGAACCCTACGGACACGAGACCCAGCATTGCTACCACACAGATGCTCCTTGGCATGTGGTGGAGCCACATCCTAAGAAACATGGACACCATAAACTGACATCACACAATCAACCCTGCCGCTCCTCAGCATTCCCGTAGCTCAGCCGTCACCCTTGCTGTCACTGGCCACCTGGCACTACTATTTGTTTAGCTGCCCAGTATCACAGGCTGTCAACAAAACATACACTGTTAACCCAGGATAGGACCACAGTTCAGAATTCTTCTGAGTCTGGTACCTACTGCCTGTGCGCCCCTTCTCCACCCTTATGTTGCAAATCGTACAGAGGATAAATCAGGCACCCCTTCCAGCGTCTGCATTATTCCGGTTGGGGGGGGGGTCGTTAAACACACTGTGTTTTTTTTTTTGCCTGATGCTTGCCAAGTGCACTGCACAAGAGCTGAGGCTTCCGGCTCGGGTGTCTGCCTAGCATGCACGAGCACCTCAAAGGCCACCATATACTGGAGTCTGTTTGGTTTTGCCTCCATATGGACAGATCTTGGGTTCTCAGAGATTTTTGGATTTGGAGACTGTGGATGAAGGATCATACCTCTGTGGAATAAAGTTCCCAGTGGCAAAGCCGGGTTAATTCTTACTTCCCAGATTGCTCCTCTGGGGACTCCTGGCAAGTGGATGTAGTGGAGGAACTCTATGACTCAGGACATCCCTCCATCTCAGTACAACTGTCTAGAACATTCTACGTTTCAGGTCTGACTGCATGCTGTTACACCTCTCAGAGGTCCCATCATGCTTCCCAGTGTCCTCCAGGCCCCTGGTGCCACGGTGTCTTGGACAGGGGTGACGATCACAGAGATGTGTCAACACACAGTCTGGGGCCCAGCACTGGAAAGTCAGAATCTCACAGCCAGTGCAGAGGAGGCACACTAGCATAAGGGGACCAGGAAGATGACACTGACATTTGATGGCCCAGGTGGCATCATGAGTGGATGCTTCAGGAGGGCGGAGATGCCCCTTATGGAGTCAACAGATCCCAGCTCTGAGGAGGCCACCCGGGCCCCTCTTCTCTGCATTCCAGTCAGACTTCCAATGAGCGGGATCACAGAGTGAAGGTGTATGCACTTAGGGCAGTTCTCTGAGAGGACAGGGCAGGTTGTAGACTGTCCTCGGAGTTTCTGACCAGATGCAAGGACTCTTACTTCTCGTGTTTGGACTCCAGCCTGAGATGCTGGGAGATAGAGAAGGATGGGACTGATGTGACAAACTGTCCCAAAGTGTAGAGAAAGCAAGGCTCCACCCTCTAGCAGTTAGCCACACTACACCTGGCAGGTGGAAGTCTCGGGTACCACAGTCAATTCCAGTCTTATAATCCCTCCCCTCCACAGACAGCAAAGACACCACTTTTCATATTGCCTCACAACCCTCAGCAAACATATTTCTAAAATGGGCTCCACACATCAAAAACGCATGAGGCCATTTCACTCGAAGACCAGCTCAGAGGGAAAACTCCATAAAGAGAACACCCCTAAGGCCCTAGGATAAGCATCCCCAAAGCCACCACACGGCAACATTCTAGATGCCTGCAACAGATGAACCTGTCTCAGAGACACATGCAGAGTCCAGGTACAAAAGAACACAGCTCCAATCCCATTTACTTGAGGCTCAAAAGGAGGTTAGAAACCAGGTAGGTAGATCAGCTGACCTTGCTGGGGTGTGACCAGGAAGGGGAGGAGAGGGTCCTTTGACCTGGAGGCTGAGGGCCACAATGATGCCAGACCCAACTCTGGTGCTTACCTGTACATGTCTTAAGATTTTATTTTATTCTAAAAAGTTCTGGGTGTGTGTCAGCTGCTGAAGTACTTGCCTAGCATATATGAGGCCCTGGTCTCATCAAAAGCACTGCATAAAGCCGGGTGTGGTGGCTCACATAACACTCAGCCACACAGTGAGTTTGAGGCCAGCATGAGACCTTTGCCTTCCCACCAAAAAATAAAAAATAAAACAATAACATTTTTTAAAGTTTAGAGACATTACTTAAGTGCTTATTTTTTTCAATGCCAATAGTATTTAGATTTTTTTATTTTTTAAGTTAGTGTTTTGTGTGGTATCTTGACTCCTAAGTAATTCTACTTAATCTCCTCCCACTGGCCTGAATTTCTGGATGTAACAGCCTCAGGTCCTCTGTCCCTCCCTCCTCACCCCTCCTGTTAAGTAGTTGCAGGCGCGATGACCTGGCTTGGAGACCAGCTAGGCCTGGGATGGGAAGCGCCCCCTTCCGGAGCAGGGCTGTATAATTCTTCAGGCCAAAAAGGGAGCAGAAGTTCTGCAGAGGGCGGGAAACTGCACACACTCATTCCAAAGCTACCCAGTGAAAGCAAGGCCTGGGCTATCAGCAAACAAGATTGGGATGCACTCAGGGCGCCTGAGGTCAAGCCCAGCTACGCCTCTTGTGAGGGGCCACCACCTCCAGCTCTCAGAGCTGCAGCGTCCAGGATGGACAGGGCTGAGCTGAGGACAGCAGGACTCCCCAACTCCTCTGCTTCCTGTTGGAAGGCTACAGAAGGGGGAAAGACATTTAGCAGTGCAGTGGTTGCTCCCTGTGACACCCCTAGAACCCTTGGAGGCATGTTGTCATCCTCTGACATCCTCCAAGCCCCAGCTACTCATTCCAGTGTGGGTACTAAAGTCACATGTCCTCTGATCATTTTTCTGGGCTGGGAATGCTTGGGAGGGCACACCGCCAACCTTCAGAACCAACCTTGGCAAGGAGGAATTCAGGGGGCAAAATTCTGGAACCTTTGTAAAGCACCAATAACACTGTGGTTACGGAGACACCCGTCAAAAAGAGGCCTTCCACTAAATAAGTCTTAGTTTTCACCCACCTCCAACCAAGTAAACCACTTGCTCCAAAACCTCATGCTCTCTTGGTATAATTTCACAACCCCAGGAACCGACCATCTGGAGCCCCCCAGAAGAAAACGCAGTCATCCATGCTCTTTGAGCAGGGCCTCCAAGCGCCCAAAGGGCCCAGCCCTGGCTGAGAGAGACTGGCCTCACCCATTACACAAGAGCTGGCGACCCCTTGCAAACTCCAGGGACCTGACCAGCCCGTGTAATTTTGGCCCTCAATGAACTGGAGCCTGAAAAGAGGTACATTTGGGCATGGCAGGGTGGCCAGCCAGCCTGGGGAACAGGGTGTGTCCCCCCACACACAGACCGGGAATCTGGGTCATGCTTAGATGACAGAGAAGCCTCGACTCTACCCACCCGCGCCTGCCTGCATCTCCCCAGATGCTAAGCAAGCCCTCTTCCAGGTTTGCAGGAAGCAATCGAGGACTTCAAGAAATCAGGGGCACTTTGTGTGGAACCACTTCTCAGCCGAGAAAAGGGGTTCTTTGCCTTTCTCCTCTGGATCTTTCAAGGAAGGGGCAGGGTTGCCTAACTGCCTGAGACATCCATGTGGAGGCTGATCCTCCCAGACCCCCAGGGTATGAGAAGCTAACCCCAACCAAGTCCACAAGCAGCCCTTTCTGTCCTTCTACCTTCTCTCATACTGAAACAACTCACATCAGGTCTTCCCAGGCCATGGGCCTCACCAGGTAGATAGCATTATGTTTCTTTACACCCTGAAAGATAATGCTGAGGGGGCTCTGATCTGTGACAGAAGGAACAGTACTTGCATACACCAGGGTCGGAGGAAGAGTCCCTCAAACCACTCAACAAAACAGTCCCCAGATGCAGCTGGTGGCCCACCCAGAGCCACTCACTGAGGCTGGAACGACTTCTCCACCACCAGGCCACATGGTGTCCCATGCCATAGGCCTGAGGCTCCCACCTTGAGTAGAACACCAGGGTTGGGAAGTCGGGGTCCTGGTCTATAGGATCTGGCGGGGGGCGGGGGGAGCACCCTGTAGCCCAAAGCCTCCAGACACTGGCCCAGCTAAAGCTCCAATCGGAAGAAATCAGACCTCATCTGAAGAGCCCCCATCAGTGTCCCCGCGCGACCCAAGACCCAGACCTTCCGTCTTTGCAAGGAACCACTCACTCCCCCAATCCCGAGCCTCCTAACCACTCGTAGGCTCGCTCTGCAGCTGCAGCCCAGCAGGCCGGGAGGCTGCTTCTCTCAGCTCCAGGGCCCTCATCTCCAGTCCCTAGCCGCGGAGGAGACCCCAGTTCCCATCAGCCCCCAAGTCTCTCTCTCAGCCCCGCAGAAGGAGGAGGAAGAGGAGAAAAAGGAGGAGGAAGAGAAGAAGAGAAGGAGGTAGAGGAGGAGGGGAGGCGCAGCCGCCCGGGCTGGGGCAAAGGATATGGCCATTCCGTGATCTTTTTGGCGTATTTTCTCACCACATTGTCTTCACTGAAGAGGAACAGGGAGCGGTTGACCGTGAGGCAGTTCTGGCGGACGGGGATTGGGTTGTAGAGGGCCATGGTTCGCGCTCTCTGCGCCATCGACTGCTTGTACATCCTCTGCGCTCCGGGCTGCCCGCCCTGCCGGCTGCCCCCGGCTCCTCGGCCGCCCGCGGCGCCCACGACCACCCCGGCGGCCGGCCCTGAGCCTCCTCCGCCTGCGCCGTAGCGGCCCGGCATCTCGTCTCCAAAGCGGGCCATTCTGCAAAGAGCAAAGGGCCTCGGGTTACGCGGCGGCTGCTGTTGCTGCGGCGAGCGCTGCGGAAGCCACGGCCACCGCCACCACCACCACCACCACCGCCGCCGCTGCTCAGGCTGGCCGGGCTGTGGGGACGGCGGCTGCACCTGCGACTGCGGAGACGCTCCACGGCCCAGCCCATCGGGCGGCGGCGCCCGGCCTCGGCTCGGGGGCTCACGAGCGGGACGGCCCGGCCGAGCCGGGGAGCGCGGCTCGGGACATGCCGGCAGAGGCGGTGACCCCGGGCGGGAGGAGGGGTGCGGGGGAGGGCGCGGGGGCGGGGCGCGGGGGAGGGGCGCGGCAAAAATAACCGGGGACGCGATCCAGGCGATCCCCGGCCACCCACTCCGGAGAGGAAAAAATTTTTTTCAGTTAAAAAAAATTAGTAAAAAAAAAAAAATAATGTAAAAAGGTCGGTTTTTTTTTTTTAAAGCAACGCTCCAATGCACACCCCCTTTAAAACGCGAAGTCTAAGCGAAGGACGTCCCCTCTCCCCGGGACGCAACGACAAGCTTCAAATTCCTCGGAGGTCCGGGGTCAGCTTGGCATCTTGCTAAAGGCGTGGGCTCGGCCCATTTGAAAAAAAAAAAAGAATTAAATAACAAAAAGCCAAAACCAGGTCTTTGCTACAGGAAGAGGGTGGCAGAGAAGAATCTGTCCGTCTGTTTTGCTGACTTTCCTAGACCTGGAAAGAATAGAAAATTCCTGAAAACGCTGCAGCCCCTCCCCCAAATCCAACCCGGCTGGAGAGCGGGTTGGGGAGGGGAGCGGAGGAGCGGGGCGCAGGGGCGCGGCGGGGCTCGGAGGCGTCAGGGAGCCGCTGGTCCCCGGCTTTGAAAAAAGCCGATCTGTTTTCCTCCTGATTCAGCAGCCGCCGGCTCCTCTGCGCGCGGAAGCGTGTGTGCGCTCAGCCAGGCGCGGCGCAGCCTCGGCCGGGGGGAAATTGCAGCAGCGCAGTCTTGAAAATTCCCCACGGGGGGGAGAAGGAGGCGAGAGAGCGAGCAAGGGAGGGCGATGCGCGCCGCTCGGCAGCGAGCGGCTCCGGCTGCGGCAAAGCCTGGCAGCATCCCCACCCCCGGGCGCCTCCCTCCTCCTCCCCTTCTCCCAGCTCCGCCTAAAAAAGAGGTGAGAGGAACTAGCTGCCTGGTCAGGAGCCGGGGCTAGACCGGGGCCCTGCTCCCTGGAGCAAGACCCTCCCGGTGACGCGCGCAACCAATCACCGACGCGGGAGCAGGCGCGGCCGGGCGCGCAGGGGGAAGTCGGGACAGAATCCTCCCGCACAGAGGACCTTTCCTGCCACCCGAGGTCCGCGTCGCCTCCCAAAACCAGGCATACCCAGAGGGAAGGAAAAAACTTAAAGAGTAAAGGGCTTGATATGAAGACTAGTGTGGTGGCCATCGCTGAACAAATGTGGGTCTCTTGAGAAAAGGACAATTTTTTGCGAGCTGGAAGGACGGTTTGGAGCACTTCTGGGGAGGCTGCAGGTTGCAGAATGTCGTTTCAAGAAATGTGTAGGCCCCCCGGAGACCCTGGCTGGAGCACCTGTGAGCTCCCAGGAGCAGACCATGCTAGGCTGGGCTGCGGGCTGGGGTTAGCATGGCCCCATCTCTACTAGGCACTTGGAACACTGCTACCTGCTCTCCCCCCAATTTGAAAATTCCATAAACATAGAAAAATACATAAAACACAACAGAACAGGTGGAGAAATTGCAGCACAATGAGCCCTTGTGGATGCCAGCGCCCCAGAAACCCAATCACAGGCCTACACAGGGGCTGGCTCCATTATGACCACGGCCTGGCCATTCTTTTAGCTTTGTGACTCTGGCGTGCCTTCCTCAGCTGGAGGTGTTTAGCTCCCTTTGGCCCCATAGTAAGCATCATTCTGTAGGACCTGTTTCTTGGGTTCATCATAGCTGTGGGTGATACATTTTCTTTGCTGTATAGTACTCTGTGGAAAGATATTCCACAATTTGGTTTTCTATGGGCATCTGGTTCTTTGGAGCTGGGACCACAGCACAGCCTTGCCTGAGACACCATATGCATGTGAGCAGTGTCTGCTTGTGGAGTAAGGCTATACTCCGTGGAGTTTCAGGCTCTTTTCACATAGTATCTTCCGGTTTATAAGATGTGAAACTGTCTTCTAAATCGGATGTACCAAAAAGTAGTTTTGGGAGCTAGAAACATGGCTCAGTAGGTAGAGTGCAGCCTGCTCATCCAGAGGACCTGGGTTCGATTCCTAGCATCCATATGGTGGCTTACAAACAGCTGTAACTACAGGTCCAGGAGATCCTACACCACCTTCTGGTCTCCTTGGGCATCAGTCAGGCACGTGCTGCACTGACATGCGTTCAGGCAAAGCACTCATACACATAAAATGAAATAAAAACATTTTTAAAAGAAGGAAATCTATTTCAGGGAAGAGCAAGATGGCTCATTAGATAAAGGGGCTTACCACAAAGCCTAGGGACTTGAATCGGATTCCCAGGACCCACATGGTGGAAGGAAAAAACCAACTCCCACAAGTTTGTGCTCTGACCTCCACAAACATACACCCACACACAAACATACACCCACACACAAACACATCCACACACATACACCCACACACAAACATACACCCACACACAAACATACACCCACACACAATTAAAAACAATTAATTTTTGATTATAAAGGAACACTTTTTATAGGTGCAGGCTTGTTATCCTAGCACTGAGGCTGAGGCTGAGGCAGGAAGATGGTGATTTATCATGAATTTCACTAAGTGTGTGTAAACTGGAAAGAGGAGTATGAAAAGGGAAGAGGGAGAGGCTGAGGAGGCAAATCTCAGCTAGTTAAAGTATGCTTGGCCCCCACACACACATCACACACATCAGTATTTGAGCTCATTTGGGACATTCTAGTACAATGAAATGTCTGTATATACATTCCTAATTCGGTGCCTTTGGAGGGGCACTTTTGAGACAGGGTTTCTCCATATTGCTTTAGAGCCTGTCCTGGAACTAGCTCTGTAGACCAGGCTGGCCTCGAACTCACAGAGATCTGCCTGCCCCTGCCTCCCAAGTGCTGGGATTAAAGGTGTGCGCCACCACTGCCCAGCTCATTTTTAAGATTGTTTTTTAAAATTTGTTCAAACAAGCCAGGTGTGGTAGCACACACTTGTCACTCAAGAACTCAAGAGGTGAGGCAGGAGTATTGCTGTAAGTTCAATGACTGACAGTCTAGGTTATAGATGAGTTCTAGGCTAGTCTAGAAGACAGGGTCAAATTCTGACAAAAAAAAAAAAAACTGGGTAAAACCACAACAAAGACTCAGCACACTCAGACTGTGGTTAAAGCCCATAGGGCAGACATGGTCAACAAAACAAAATGGCAGCATACAGAATGGGAAAAGTTCTTTACCAACCTCACATCTGACAAAGAATTCGAAAATATACAAAGAACTCAAGAAACTAGACATCAAACTACCAAATAATCCAATAAAAAAAAAATGGGGTACAGATCTAAAAAGAGAACTTTCAACAGAGGAATCTCAAATGGCTGAAACACTTAAGGAAATGCTCAACATCCTTAGTCTTCAGAGAAATGCAAATTAAAACAACTCTGAGATACCATCTTACACCTATCAAAAACTCTGATGACAGTTTATGCTGGAGAAGATGTGGAGTAAGGGGAACACTCCTCCATTGCTGGTGGGAGTGTAAATTTGTATAGCTGCTTCAGAAATCAGTACTGCAGTTTCTCAGAAAATTGGAAGTCAATCTACCTCAACACCGAACAATACTACACACACACATCACAAGCAACATTACTCGTAATAGCCAGAACCTGAAATAATCAACCTAGATGCCCCTCAACTGAAGAATGGATAAGGAAAATGTGGTACATTTACACAATGGACTACTACTCAGTGGTAAGAAACAATGACATCTTAAAATCTGCAGGCAAATGGATGGAACTAGAAAAAGCCATACTGAGTGAGGTAACCCAGACCCAGGAAGGCAAATGTAATACGTACTCACTCATAAGTGGATGATAGACATACATCCAAGGATAACCAGCATACAAGCCAAAATCCCAGAGAACCTAGGTAACAAAGAGGACCCTAAGAAAGAGACATGGATCTGCCTAGGAAGGGGAAAAAGACAAGATCTCCTGAATAAATTGGGAGTGTGGGAGCAGGAGGAAGGGTGGAAGGGGGAAGGGGAAGAGGGAAGGGGAGTGGGAAAAATGTATAGCTTAATTAAAAAAAAAATGCACCAAAAAAAAAGTCTTCGTAAGGAAAAGAAAACACACAGGGCAGAGCTGTGGGAGGGAGCTCAAGGCACTCTCCAAACAGTGATGCTGTTCTATCTGACATTGTTCTACTTTTCACAATCTGGAGGCCAAGAGCATCCCACCTGAAACAGGGAGCCATTGCCTGAGTACAGATTCAGGGGCCAGCCCCAAGAGACTCGGTGGTGAGTGTGAGGTGAGCTTGCACCACGAGGGGCCTTGCACAGAAGGCTGTTGAGATGCATCTCCACATGCACGGATCTCTGAGGCCCCTGGAGCTTCTCAGGCTGGAGTGGACCTGGAGGAAGGAGTCCTGGGATAAAGCTTCCACAGAGTCTCCATTTGTGTGTGTTACATGATGTGAGCATGTGCACACATACTCATGAACATGTGTGCACATGCATGGAGGCCAGAGGACCACCCTGGGTATTGTTTCTCAGATGCCACCTGCCTTTCTAATTAATGAATTGACCAAGTGCTTGCTAGACTGATTAATGGGATAGAGGTTGGTATCGTATCAGGTGTTTTTCTCGATTGTTCTCCATGTTTTTCGACACAGGGGCTCACTTGACTACAACTTGCTAAGTAGACTACACTGGCTAGTAGGTGAACTTGAGAAATCTTACACACACACACACACACACACACACACACACACACACACACACACGCCCCAGCCCCAGGAGTGTG